CAAAAAAAAAAAAAAACGCCAGCAAAGCAGGGCGCAAAAGAGAATCAACTAACATTTCCCAGATATCAGCAGTTATATTTCTAATCAAAATATTTGTAGATATGCCCGATGTGCCCGCAATTTTGAAGCGCCCGGGCGCGCATGGCTGGCGCTCTGCACACACAGATTTTTGTCCGGCGGTGCACGTTTGACACGGCCAGTGCCGCAGTATCGCGATTCGGTGTCTCATAATATTATAATTTTTTGACATCAGTATAACTTTTAAAAAATTTGGTACTCAACACACGTACATTTGCTAAGAATAAAGTTGATTTGCAGTGATTTGTGTTTGTTGCGTGTGTTTGTGTTTCGCTTACCGTCGTTAATGCAGGTGGGGAGGGGGGCGCACTTACGCAAAACATATTCGCGGGGAAATAGATTCGCGGTACAGAGGTCCCCGCGAATGCCGCGAATCTAAATATACCGCGGAAATTTGTAGACTTACAGTAATCTGAAAACCTTGGGGTAGCCAGAATGGAGAGTTCTGAATCTCAAGGGCACCATGTTGGGAGACCCACATTTCAACTGGGTAATGGATATTCAGTTGAGTCTCATATATTATTACCAAGATCATGCCTCTCTCTATATACTAGACTTGCAATGTATTTATTTCTGTTACGAGACTTGATAAAGATTCTGAATGGCCGGACTTGAGGCGGCTAATAATTGGTGTTACAGATCAATCTTGGTACCGGTAATCTATCCTTTCTATAAATACTCTGAGCCACAAATAAGCTGCATCTCTTATAGACAAATACATCGATCAACATGCAATTAATTAAGTTTCATATGTTTTTTGTCAACAGCATGCTTATATCTATATAGATGTACCTAAAAGTTTCATATTAATTTTTTTTATTATTACCGGTATACTTTATAAAGATTTCAAATGGCCAGTGCATTTCCAGAGTTGAAGCAGATTTAATGTAACAGTGTTACATGTTGGTAATCTATCTTTTCTATAAATACTTTGAGCCACAAATAAGCTGCATCACTTAGCTGGTGTGTTACGCCGAAAGGCGGTTATACCGGCTATACAGATACAGATACAGATCACTTATAGACAAATGCATTAATCAACATGCAAAGAATAAGGACCCATACATTATATATGTGATAGTTCTAGATACATTTTGTACCATACTTACAGTCAGGTCTGTACCCTACACTGTGGGGTGTTCTCTTCACTAACAAGCTGGAAAAGCAAGGGGAGAGAAAATTGGTAAGTTTCACATCAACTAAAAATTCTACCAGTGAGTTGGTTTTTTTCAGGACCAGTTTAATCTGATTTAAATTTGAATTTCAAAGGGACTGATAACTTGGAGTGTCCCAGCCAGTCTTTTGCTTGATCAAAAATTCAAACTTAAATTCTGCTCTACAGATGAGCTGTGATCTTAACACCAACCTGACGACCCTGACTTTCTTGGGGTTGTAGTCTTTCACCAGGTCCAGCAGTTTTAACATGGTCTTCCCTGTGTCTATGATATCCTGTTGGTAAAAGACAAATCTGTCAGCAAAAACAACCATCTTCAGATATGGATAATTTTTCATTGTCAAAAAAAAGTTTTCACTCTCTGAATTTTCTAAGTAATACAGACATTTAAAATGAAAGGGAACTCTGACAAGATGGGGGGAAAAACACCGGCCACTTACCTCTACAATCATGACATTCTGAAAAACAAAAGAAAAATACTCGGTGAGTAAAAAACACATGATGTCAACCTCCCATCCACACCTGACACTAGTCTATCAAACTGTTCAGCAATATAAAGAAAGTAGAATTATAGCAGTCTCTAAGTCCTACTACAGAAACATCTTCTTTCTGCAGACTACAAAATTCTGTAAATCTCTCTCTGACAAGTGTTTCCCTCCCGAATACAACTCATAAGCCTTCAAAACCAATATTCACTAATCCACCATCTCCTAGCCTAGTCACCAATACCTCCCACCAACTTAACTCAGTGCCCAGAAGTGGTCTTCTGGAAGTGGTGCCCAGAAGTGGCCTTGCATGGATCAAACTCGTAAAAAGAATTATCAATAAAATCAAAAATTAATAACAGCTTGCTCCTCACCTTTCCTCTCAGGTTCTCCAGGTTGTCTCCTCCGATCACCTGAATCTTTCCTGTCGCCTGGTCATTCTAAAAACGTGCAGATAAAATACAGGAACGAGAAACAGTCAACTTTTGTAAATTGTTGTTTGTTCCAGTTGTTTTGCAGCAGTATGTCATGTACAGTGTAGTGTTTTGTTGCTTCACCTTGTTTCCTTCAGTCTTACCTATAGTTAGTGTGTCAGACAAATATTTGCAGAAAAAAAGGAAGAATAAAACAAATACAGTGTATATATTGAATGAAACAGAAATGAGAATAAAAGGGGCTACCCAAACATTTTTAAGATTAAATACTATTAGATAGATAAATAAACTGTGAAAACACACACACACACACAAGTGATACCCAGTTAGATGGATTGAATGTGACAACCATTAGTATGAGAAAATAAGTTCCAGTCCACAGGCATTACCTGTGCCCCCTGTACATGTACCTGTCCTACACTACCATGTTACACTTTCATGTCCAATGGAAAGATCGCTAGAAACATGAATTGTAGTCAGACTAGAGATTATAAGAAAAGAAAATAAACCCCAGTACCAGGCCACAGGTGAGGAGATTTAATCCGAACACCTGGCGTTACCTGTCCCACCTGTACCTGTGCCTGTCTTTACCTGTTCCACTACTCTGTGTTACACTTTCATAACTAGGGAAAGGGTGGGTATAAGGAAAGTACACCACAGTATCAGCACACAGGTGAGGAGGTTTAATCTGAACACCCTGCAGTACCTACAGGTCTCTGTGTTACACATTTTCACTGTTAGGGTTAGTAGAAGTATGATGTTGTCAGGCTAGAGAGATTTAGAGTATGAGAAAGTCAACCACAGTCCCAGGCCACAGGTGAGGAGGTCTAATCCGAACACCTCGTGTTACCTGTCCCACCTGGTAGCTCTTGAGCCGGATGAAGTCGACAGACATCTGGAAGGACCGGTCCGTGTTGCGGTTCAGAGCCGAGATGTAGTTTAGCAGGTCTCCGAAGAACCGGTATCCACCCTTCAGCACGCATAACGCTACGATCGGCTCCTCGTAACCAAAGTCATTCACGATGTTCCGCGCAAGTCTCTCTGTTCTGTGGAGACAATTTGAGAACACTTCAATCAATCACTTAAGAGTTACATGTAAGACACAGATTATCGTTAAGAAGAACCGGTATCCGCCCTTCAACACGCACAGAGCAACGATCGGCTCCTCGTATCCAAAGTCATTCACAATGTTCCGCGCAAGTCTCTCTGTTCTGTGGATATAATTTAAGAACACTTAAGAGTTAAGACTCAGATTTAGCATTAAGAAGAACCGGTATCCTCCCTTCAGCACACACAGGGCAACGATCGGTTCCTCGTAACCAAAGTCATTCACAAGGTCCCGCGCAAGTCTCTCTTTTCTGGGGAGACAGAAGTGAAGGAATGTTTGATTTCATTCGTTTTAAATAATTATCAAGCTTGATGATTGTAAACTTGTGGGGTTGTATTGGTGCAACGGCAGAGCATTCGTCTCAGAACCAGGAGGTCCCGGGAATCCTGCCATGTCACCAACCTTGTGCCTTTGGGAAAGGCACTTACTGTACACGGCTTTCCTCACTTCACAGGTGAAAATGAGTATGCCAGAATGATTATTATCATGATCGTGGACATTAGAGGAAACCAAAGCAAACCAACTTTTAATGCATCCATCAATATGGACAATTGTAAAATGACTTGGGTACGTATACAACATTTGCACTTGTTCTTCAATACAACTAGAACATATTACAACTACTGGTAGTAATATTGGAGAGACACCAGAAATATGTGAGGGATAGCAAATTTGAAGTCACATGTCTGGTATGACCTTTCACCTCTAACCCATGACCTCACCTGTCCATGATGAGTCCGTGCGGAATGTAGACCCGCTCAAGGTCGTCCTCGTAGTGTTTGGGGACACAGAACATGGAGAGGTCAAACCCCTTCTCATCATCCGCTATCTGTACACAAACAAACAAACAAACAAAAATTAATTCATCAGGTTGGTAGAATATCTATATTAGGATATTGTGGTTTTCTTATACACAACCAGTATTGTCTCTCACCTTGTATAGTTACTTGTACACGTTCTGGAATCTACTACGATCTAGCAACTGGCAGCAAATAAACTATTCCGTGCCCAGTTGTGGCTACGTAAACAAGACAACACAAACAAGACAGTGAGTAAACAGCCAGCGTAGAGCACACACAAACCCTGTGATACTGAAGTTCTGACATATCACAGCTACAGTGGAGCCTCCTGTACTGTTTTCACATTCAAGGTGGAATGGTATTACTAGAAGGGTCAATATGGGGGTTTTCCTACAGCTGGATGTTGTCATTTTTTAGTGGTAGACTGTACCAATTCAATATAATTTTGGGGTTAATATACATATGTAACATGGCATCCTGAAGTTTGACTGAGAAATAAAATGTGACAAACCAAACCTTTACATTCGAAACAAATAAATTCTAAAGTAAACTTGTAATGTCAACCAACTTAGTAAATGTGAATCGACTATTAACATGTAAATTCATGCTACAGGAAGAGGAATTCCTGTAAACCCCATAAACAGCTGCTCTACATATTTTGCAATGATAACAGGTGTGACCTTAACAATGTACCTAAAATTAAACCTGTAACTACCATGGAAAATTCAATTTTGCATATACATGTCAGGGCTGGAAATACCGGATGCATGTGCACCTTAGTGCACCCAAATTTGGAACTGTGCACCCAATTCTTTTCTGTAGGCGCACCAGTGCACCAAAATATTTTTGTAGGTTCATGTATGTAAAGATGTTAAATGTGTAGTAGTACAACCATCCTATAGCTTATACATTATATGAAGAACAGAAACTTACATTCCCCCTCATAAAAAGATCAAACAGTTTTTTTGGAATGCTATCAGAAAACATGACCAGAAGCCAGGGATTAACATTATACAATAGGAAGATCAGGATTGTGCAGGTGTTTCCCCTGAAAGAACATTTAAGGATTTTTGGAATGCTATCAGGAAAAACCTGACATTGTGTCATCAATAATAAATTGCTGCTAGTTCTGAGAACACATTTCACATGACCCAGGTGCCGCTAACACACTCAGTCTGGTAATGTAACCTGCATTAGCGCTGACTTGTGCATTAGGGGATAAGTGGTAATCAGTGTGGCATTGTCACCTGATGCAATCAGCAACCTGTAACAGCCAGCCTCCATAGCATGCCAAAAACTGGGGGTTTGGGGAGTCTTCAGTGTCTTTGGGAGCTTTTATGTGCTATTTTCTGATTGCGTATAGACAACATAGCTGGCCTGGTTGAATTACCCCCGTGGGCTAATCAGAAAACAGCCGAAGACCACCAAAATCCCAGTTCTATAAGCCTGCTACGTAGGCTATAACAGCGCACTATGGGATTTTTTTACCTTAATTGAACCACCAAGATTGTCCTATGTTATTTGTTAGGCTGCAAGCGCTGCCACAAATAAACTATATGCATCATGCCAATAACAGTTTGTCTTTCCAAATCTATTGCACAGAAAATTGTGCTACACTGATTTGTCTTAATGCATCGAGATTACCGACACCCTTTCGCATGCAGTTATACACTGGTTCCACTACTGCAAATCTTAGAATAATTGCAGTGGTTTCATTTTCTTCATTTAAACCCATGACTTTCCCCCACAAATGTATTTTTGTGCCAAATTATTTTTTTCCACAGCAAAATTAAATTAAAACACTACGTTAGAACCTTGTTTCCACTTCAACCTAGAATGGGGGCCTGCATGCCCTTTTTTATAAGGCGTAATCAGGCCTTTTTAGTCTTCGTAATCCGTAGGCAGCCTCCCAAAAAATCAACATAATTCCTAATAGTACATTACCTGCAAAGCGTAAAGTCTTAATCAGCTCTGAAACATTAACGTAATTCGTAATAAAATTGGCGGCAAAAATTTTGTATAATTCGTAAATATCACTACCACCCATGCAGGCCCTCTAGAATTAAATCTGCGTGAAAATAAATGAATTTTACAGTAACTGATCAACACCACATGTGTCATTGCCATCAACACAAACTCTGGTGTGAGACACAGGAACTGCTGACACATGGGGAGACCACATGGCCTAGATATTATAATTTGAGGATTTTTACATGTGTAAAATTTCACCAACAATTTTACCTTCAGTGGCTGAACAGGTATGTGTTTTTTCTTGTTTTTGTTTTGTTTGTGTGATGACGTCACATGATTATTTACAAAACCACCCATGATTTATATTATGATCATGATACGTCACGCACATGTTGCTTCACATAATGTTGCAATTCGGTAGCGAATAAACATATTTTTAAGGCGGTATCAACCCAAAGAAAACTCCAATCCAGGTTGAACGTTACAGAACGTCCTCAAAATGTGTCTACGAGCCATAAGATCTTCCGTAATTGCGTTAATTAGCGAGCTGTGCTAATTAAGGGCGTTCTACAGTGTTCATATGCGGATATGGGACACTCACGTGACAACGCATTTCCCGCCGTTTTTAACTAAATTCCGGACTAATTTAGACCCAATCAAGACATTGATGTAATCAGAAGATGTTCCCACATCTGTAAATTTGGTTGGCAGGCAGGGATTCGCCCGAAAGGCGCGAAAACAGGGCATATTTGTGAGCGCACCAACCTTTACGTAGTCAGCCATTTTCCCGCGCAGACTAAGGAGGTCAACACGCGGGGTCAGGTTACAGGGCGTGCGGCAGCGACACCTGGCGGATTGAACAAGAACAACAACAAATCTAACTTTTTATCTTGAAATTCGCTTTCAAAATGAAGCAAACATGGACTCAATAGTTGTAGGAACATGTTTTTATCTTTATTGATCCGATTCGTATCACTGTTGTCGTCTTAATAATTAGTTTTGGACGTTTGGCTCGGTTGGCAATATTTGTAAATACAGAGCGCATACAAACAAACCAATCCTGGGTTAAAAAATACTGTAGAAGAAGGATAAAAATATCATTAACATTTATGGATTCATGAAGCGATACATATACTATTTCGTATTTTTAAATACTTCAAAGTCGATGATTGTGGATATTGAAGCCGAAGAAAATTTTAGTCTTACATTGCGTTTAGATGCGACCTAATTGCACTGGAAGATATCATTTTGAAAACGGGTGGTTACTTTGGTTATTTTTTGCACATACTCAAATATCTCCATATCATACAGAAATAGCATTTTTATCTTTAAAGATAAATCGTAATTATTCTCTTGTTTTTTTTATCAAAATATTGATCTTAATGTTATGTTTTGACATTATTTCTTGAAAGACTGTTGTCACCACCTCTCCTACGGCAATGGTCTCGCCTTAGTTTATGTCAATAACCTCCTTAGTTACGGGTGTAGAGCATATCAACTTGCTTCCGACATTGTTTTCCCTTGTTTTAAACGCCGAGTTCTCGACACAGAATCCTCCAGTCCGCTTGTCAGGGTAAGTAACACGATTGTTTCAGCTGTGGGGTACATGAAATTCAATCAGAAGGGTCGTATCGTTTAACATTTTGTCTTTATTTGAGCAGACACGTTGTAGGAAGTCGGAGCCAAGAGGTTAAGAAATTAACGCTTTTTTGAACGACCCGGTCTTGACATTTTGTATTGTTGGCTCGAGTAGAGGCATAATATAGGAACAGAACATAGCTAAAACATGAACTCACTGTGGTTTCTTAGTCTAAGTTTAAGTCTTTTTAGTTTGTAATTCAGACAAGCCATGTGGGTAATATTTTATGTAAACTATTCCCCCTCCCCCACCCCATACCTGTTTAACGTTACCTCTTGACATCTTTGAGACTTTATTTGAATTTTTGAACCTATCCTAATTTTTTCTTCTTCGGTTAACAGGTGTCAATGGGATATTTATTGTTGCCATGTTAAATAACATATAAGCTGTATTCTGAATCATACTGAAATAGCTTGGAAGATTTGGTAAACCTTTATTTAGTGTTAAACAATCTGTTGGCAACCAAACACTTTAGACTTACTATGTGACAACATGATAAATGTAGTGGTGCCACAAGTAATGTCATCTTATACTACTGCTTTGTAACCTTTAAAAAGGGTCTGACAATTAGCTTAAGTAGCCCTGTGACATCTGTCAATCAGTGTCAATTTGATAACGATCAATGTTTCACATAACAGGCACTTCAAACATTTGTTTTGTCAACAAGATCACCTTAGCAGGCCCCAAATTTTGTGCCATTAAGACAGGCACTTTGCACCAATTCCCTTACTGCACATGAGTAGCCAGCTTCAAGTAGGGACCTAATTTTCAAGTTCTCAGATGGGACATTAAGAACACCTTAAGGGTGTTCAAAGAAAACAATCTGCTCTAAGGATGTGTAAGCATATGAAAATGAGTACCCACACATGTAGCTACGATTAGGGACCTACTCAAGTTCTCAGATGGGAGGTCCCGTGTTGGAGTATTAAAAGCCACACCTAGCTTTGAGCACGTTTTAAGATCCTACAAAGGGTGTAAAAATAAAACAATTCATGCTTTATTTTAAGGATGTTTCACAGTAAGCAAGCTTATTTATCAGGTGTTTTAAGGCAATTCTGAACCAAACAATCATTTGGAAGATGACTTAAAACAGTAATATCTAACATAGGATCATGTTGGGATAAGATATTAAGACTGGTAGGGTTAGTCTCATGTTGTGCATGATCATCCTTACTAAATTATTCATGGGCAATTGATGAAGGCAGTTAAACCAGGTGCAGCAATTCATAATGAATTGAGTTGGCAACAGACCAGAATATATACTGTTATACTTATAGATAGTCAAACTGACTAGTAGGCATTAAGCACATATTGTTCAGAATATAAAGCATCAAATAAATTGCGAATGGCTGAACATAGTGAGACTTAATCGAAGTAACATAAGACAGAGATAGCACGCTACCACCTATTGCTTTGCATTCTTCTTGAATGATTTATAAGACAATTCCATTGATCCTTTTTCAATTCTTTTCATTTTCATAATATGTTCTAAAAAAAAGAAATAATGACACCCGTACAAAATAATTAAGTGGCACACATGTCTAGCAACAAAACTGAAAAATACATGCAAAATCAGGAAAGAATTGTTTATGATCTAAAAAAAATTTAATGAGAACCCCTACCAATGTAAATTGCAAAATATTAAAGAGAACTTTCATCAAAAATACGGTAAAGGCTAGCACAAGTAGTTCTGTACTACTAATCTCCAAGCAGATCTTTTGGTGGGGGTAAGACAGTGTCAAATTGGCCAGTCTGTAACCATTTCCCCACCCAAGGTGGTGGTGGTAGCAACAAAAAAGGGCCATATATAAAAAGCAAACGATCTTCCACCATCAACCTCTGCTTGGAGAGTACTGTACTACTAGTATTTTACAATCAGGTAGGGATATAAGATAGCACCTATTGCTTTACATATGTCTTCACTTATTCATCATTCTGTATACTGTGAATCTCCCAGAGCAGCTGACCTCATGCCATGACTAGAGAGATTAGATATTACAGTCCTGGGTGTCTGTTGGGCTTAAGTCTGTCTGTGTTAATGGAATATTGAGCCTGTTCCTTGTCTGCTGACCCAGTGGCAGATTAAACTGGAAAAGCTTTTAGAGAGTACAAGCGTCACTACGTGTGAAGAGAATCTGTTGACATCTCTACATTAGACTGAACATAGCCTGACTCTTACAATCTGGCAGCCAACAGATGAAGAAATAGAAGTATATATTATGTACCCTGCGGTATATCTATCCTTTAGAGAGCACAACCCTTCACTATGTGTAAAAGGAAGCTGTTGACATCTGAACATTAGACAGAACATTAACATAGCCTGACTCTTACAATCTGGATCTAGCAGTCAACAGAAGAAGAAATAGATTCTGAAGTATACCCAGCTGCTATATCTAACCTCTTAAGAGCACAAACCGTCAGTACGTGTGAAAGGAAAGTGTTGACTTCTGAACATGATTGAACACAGCCTGACTCTTACTATCTATATCTCAATGCCTACTAACACAATTCTGATTCACAGTTGATTCACAGTCACAGTTGAGTATGTACTTGTATTAAGCAAACCTTTATTTTAGAGAGCACAAGTGTTCTGTTGCATGTGAAAAAAAAATTTAACATTAGATTGAACAGCTGTCAGTACTAGTAGGTTTGCTACCTCGACTCTTACATGCCAAAAAACAGTTACTCAAGCAACTGGATATGATTTTGAAAACGTCAGACGTTTCAGCTAGTATCCACTAGCTTTCGTCAGTGACTGAGAGACCAGAGGGGAAAGCAGGTATATATACACAACCTGTTTATTGATATGCAAATAAAGTGAAGACAAATTTTTTGGAAGTCGAAAAAGGAACAAAAGTTTTCTTTCCGCGTTGAAGATGATCTTGTTGGCGTTGAAGCCTCTGATGGAAGTTTTTAGGCGTAGGCTGGTGGGTGTGATACTTACCTTGAGGCAGCGTAGACTGAAGCGTAGATGATTCCGGAAATCTGCAATCTTCCTGCTGGTCTTCTCCAGATCCCTCACAGAGCTCAGGCAAAACTTACCGTAATGATCCAAGATACGTCGATGAAGGTTAGACATCCAGGTAATACGATATGCCAAAAAACAGTTACTCAAGCAACTGGATATGATTTTGAAAACGTCAGACGTTTCAGCTAGTATCCACTAGCTTTCGTCAGTGACTGAGAGACCAGAGGGGAAAGCAGGTATATATACACAACCTGTTTATTGATATGCAAATAAAGTGAAGACAAATTTTTTGGAAGTCGAAAAAGGAACAAAAGTTTTCTTTCCGCGTTGAAGATGATCTTGTTGGCGTTGAAGCCTCTGATGGAAGTTTTTAGGCGTAGGCTGGTGTAGGCGTAGGCGTAGGCGTAGACTCTTACACTCTAGAAATCAATTAAATCATCATTAGACTTAAGATCTACAAGCTACTACCAAGGAAGTCACAAAAATGATTGTCACATTTTAAATTCTGCCCTACCACTGTTCACTTGTATAGGCTGAAATGCAGTAACCTCCCGGTGGAGTCAATTAAAACAGTTCCCCACAGGTGACAGTCAGGCAGGGTTTCTCATGTGGCTAATTATCCATAATCAGGACATGTAGCGAGTGTTACAGTCTCAGTGGGACGTATACATGCCTAGTCATGTCTGTCACAGTCTGGCTGGTGATTGTAGCCATCTGACTGTAACATTATTGGCTGATATGTTTTGCAAGTGTAGCCAAGTGTGTGAAATATCATTATTGAAACCACCTGTCAAGCTTTTAAGCTGATACATTTTACCAAATTATACTCACTTGTTGATTGTAGCATCGTGACTGTAAAGACATTAAAATGTAACAACTTGTCATGAGTGTAGCCAAGTGTGTGTGATATAACCACCTGCTGCCACATTGATGCTGCATTATACCAAATTACGCTTAACGTTACCTGTTGATTGACACACATGGGTACAAAGAATAATCATCATTTGTGCTCTGAACATGATTTTATGATGAATGCCGTGAGTCCATCCCAATTGGTACCAGTTAATAATTACAAAAGCAGGAATATCCTTGTTGTTTCGCCTTGCCTCAGAGATCTAGACATATTTCAAGAATAGCTCCATTGTGTCTAATAAATAATCATGCTGTGTGTTCTCTGAGTGTTTTGTCCTGATTGGCTTGCAGGTAGCACAAGATGGCGGTGTCTTTCTCCAACACAATATTACATCCTGCAGTGTAGATAGAGACATATTTCAGTAGTTCAGTAGTATCTTCATGCTGTGTGTTGTTTAAACACTGTCTCCTGACCTGTCTTGCCCATGTAGCACAAGATGGTGGTGCCTTTCTCCAAGTGTTCATCCCATAGTACATTGTACCATTTATAAGTACACATACAGTGTTATCCACGATATTACACCCTGCAGTGTGCATGGAGACATACATGTATTTCTGCATCAATAGTAACTATGTGTCTCCATGCTGTGTGTCATTTAAACACCATGTCCTGTCCTGATTGTCCCAGATATCACAAGATACAGTGTGCACTTCAGTAGTGAATCTGAGTGTCTTCATGCTGTGTGTTATTTTGCACTGATTGGCCCATAGGTAGCACAAGATGGCGGTGCCTTTCTCGAACACGAAGCTCCGTGTGCCGCGGGGGTTCCAGAACCTGCTGGAGGGTCTGTCCAGGGAGGTCCTCAGGAACCAGCCTGACAACATCCCAGAGTTCGCAGGTACCATGTTTTCTTTTGTCATCATCTTATTCATTGTCATCATCATCAGTTGCCTGCTACACAGGAAACTGCAAGTTTCTTCCACCTCCCCTTGTTCTTCTGTATGATACATGAATGTAGACTCCTAAGTAAGAATATATTCTCTTACCGAGTACTATATTTGTACTAGGTAGAACATCTAAAAGCTTGTGTTTTTTTATGTTTCAATGAAAGGATGCCTACAACTAATGTGTCCCTCCTGTGACAAAGTATTTTGACACACGTGTATCATAAGTTGGTGTCTAAAAGCTTCTTTATTGTTATGTTTCATGTTACAATGTTCTCTCGTGTGTAGCGACATATTTCGACACATCATAAGTTGGTTTATTGTTTTGTGATTAAGTATCAATGTTTCCTCCCGTGTAGCTACATATTTTGACACATTACTGAAGCAGCGTGACGTTGGAGGCATCGACCCCTCAGAGTGGGGAGCACAGCAGGAGGACAGGTTCTACAACAACAAGTCCTTCAACCAGCCCAGGCCAGGTTCTCAGGATAGTTCAGACCAGGTAAGGGGGCCCGCATTCCCTTTTCCAAAGATTGTAATCGGCCGTTTTAATTTTACGTAGAGCATAGACGGACCGCTCTAATTCAACATAGAGCGTAATAGGCGCATTTTGCATAGAGCGTATTCGCTGTTTAAATTCTACGTAATACGTTGTAGCCACTTGGAATTTATCGTAAAGCGTAATCGAGAGCTGTCACAATTTAGCGTAGAGCATTGTCGGGACCCCCCCATGCAGACCCCCAGGTAAGTCTTCTTTAGTTTGCTTTTAAAACAGTTTGTATCCCGAATCTCATCACTTAAGTGTAAAACTGGTTCACTCAAATGTAGGATTGACACAAAGTTACAAGTCAAGTAACAATTAACAACCCACAGCCTTGGACTGTTTAAACAATTTGTACTGAAAGTGTCTGTCCTTTGTGCTGAACTTTGGTTTGCTGTTTAAACAGTTTGTATCCAAAATCTCATCACTCGAGTGTAAATGTGGTTCACTCAACTGTAATTAGTGTCTTGTAGCCTGGGACCATCTGAACGGTGCCTGTCCCTGGTGCTGAACTTCAGTTTACTGTTAAGCACAGTTTGTAACAAGTCTGAAGTCTCTCAGGTTCTACAACAACAAGTCCTTCAACCAGCCCAGACAAGCCAAGACAGTTCAGGCCAGGTAAAGATGACGATAATCTCCAAGCAGATCTTTGGCCGCAAAAGACAGTATCAAGTTGGCCAGGCAGTATCCATTGGCCACCAGTGGCTAATGGACACTCCTCTGGCCAATGGATACTGTCTGGCCACCGTATGATCTGCTTGGAGATTATTTTAAGGGTATACCGGTACTAGTTCTCAACAATAACAAATCCTGGGACAGCCGTGATGTACATCGGTAAAAAAATTCAGAAGAAAATCCGGTAAGATACTTCAGATGCGGGATCTATAGCAACAAGACCTTCCATCATCTTAAGACAATTCAGAAATACTTCATATGTGGTTCCTATGACAATAAGACATTCCAGCATCTTACTACCATCACGATCAAGTAAGTTTTAAGGCCTTCTACAATGTATATTAATTACAAAGCAACCAAAGCCTGTCCTCTTATTATACGGATCTGCAGACCAAGTACATGTATATGTAAGATAACTTAAGACAAAGGCTCTGCAATTGTTGCAATTAGTCATTCCAGTTTCTCAAAAAAAACTACAGACCAGGTGGGGCTGATCAACAGTCTTAGGATGTCATTTAGAAATAGCTTTTTCAAGATTACAGGTTCTAACAAAAATCCTTTTAACACCAACAATGTCTCCTGAGGAAAGTACAGTCTGGAGTCTAAAGAATTTATTACAAGAATAAGTCTTCCTGTCACTTACAAATTGTCTCAGGAGAAAAAAGAACCAACCAGGTGGTGTTGAACAAAACTCTTAGGATATTACAAAGAAAATACTTGAAGTAATTGAGAGGTAAGGTGTGTGATCTAGTGTTTGTAGGGGATTACAATCAAGAGCTTGAAAATTTTATCAGTTTTTGAATACTTAATGATGAATGAAATTATTCTGCAGAATATTGAAATCTCATGTTACGTTTTAATCAGTCACGACATGAAGTCTTTATTTGACTCAAATAAAGTTTTTGATGGTCGGAAGTGGTAAATATTAAAGTTGACACTGAATGAGCAAGCCAACATGACTGACAGTGGTGGTTTCAAGAAAGGCAAGCTAGCTAATGAGAAGGTTAGTCTGTTTGGTTAAGTTTTAGATGCTTCAGTAATAATTTTGACTTTGGAAATATATATACAGCCAAAGCTATTCATAGGTTTGGCCAAAGCTCTAAGAAGACCACTCAGGGCACCAATAAATTCTGGTCTATGTAATAGTATATGTGGACAGGTGGTCACTATAGACAGGATTCTTAGTGCTTGTGTCAATGGGAAAAATTGTTTTAAGGGAACACCAAAAAGTGGTCACATTGGCCAGGTGGTCCTTGTGTACAGGTCATCACTAGTACAGGTTTAACTGTGTATCAATGGCCAGGTGGTCCTTATGTAGAGGTGGTCACTTCTACAGGTTTGACTGTATATCAATGGCCAGGTGGTCCTTATGTAGAGGTGGTCACTAGTACAGGTTTAACTGTGTATCAATGGCCAGGTGGTCCTTATGTAGAGGTGGTCACTAGTACAGGTTTGACTGTATATCAATGGCCAGGTGGTCCTTATGTAGAGGTGGTCACTCACTCAGGTTTGACTGTATATCAATGGCCAGGTGGTCCTTATGTAGAGGTGGTCACTCACTCAGGTTTGACTGTATATCAATGGCTGGCCAGGTAGTACATGATATGTAGAGGTGGTCACTTTTACTGGTGTCTAAATGTTTGTTGTATGTTGCTACAATCTTTGGGTAACTAGGTATTCAAACGTCTATACAGAACAGAGTTCTATAATAGTGCCAATCATTCTCTTGTGCAATTGTAACCCTTTGAATGAAACCTACAGTACTGTAGCAGGTAACACAACAGTGTGTACAGGTAACCTGAGATCACACAACTTCTGGGCGATTGTAATTTGTCGGTTGTGAAACAGTCTTTGTTTACACAATAAACAACATACAACGTGTTAGGTTAACCACTAACTGTTGTATCCACTGAAAGGTTACTAAGAGTAGTAATGTAAGAAACAGAGGCAAGCAGTAGAAACAGATAAAAACCCCTGGTCCCGGGCCGGGGTTCGAACCCACGACCTCCCAAACACCAGCTTCAAACTCTGACACTCTAACCACTCGGCTGAAAAGGTCTAGACCCTTCGGCCGGGTCAGTTGGTAGCGCCTATAAACCCCCCACTGTTACAGGAAGACGCTGTATCACTACTTCTGCATGGGCGTTCTAATTAAAAGATTAACTAGTAAGACCTGAGCTTTGTAAGTAAGCAAATTTTGATTAACAGAAATATAAAGAAAAGACTGCCAATCCCCAAAGAGCTTAGAACTGGTTTAGACAACTTACTAGATTTGTTATTTTTTTCCCCGTACTTTTTTTTACTGTACTTTATAGATAGGCTACAATACAAGTCAGTCTACAAGCTCTATGTATAGTAGCTATATTGTACAAGGTGATAGTAGACTTACGAGTATGTGATATGAAAGTGTAGGGGAGAGATTAATTTTTGTTATTTATTCCCAGACCTGGAGTATGATATAAGTTATGTAGAGTTGAAAAATCCACTTTGTTGTTACATGTACATACTTTGAAACAACACTCGTATTTTGAGTTATGGTATTTCAATAGCATAACTCAAAAGGCTTATGTGTGCGAAGCTGTTGAAATCAGTCCTAATATAATAACCACCTGCTGCCACGTGCCGGCAACACCTAAATTTTTGTAAGTATGGCTGATAAGAGCGGAAACAGAACGTAAAATACATGAAGGGGGATGTAAGGTCCTTCAGAGAGTGTTAAGTGTTACGCACAATTGTTATGCTAGCCCTCAAAAGTATGTCAGTCTACAAGCTCTATGTATAGTAGAACATGATTGTGTATTGTACAAGGTGACAGTAGAATTATGATTAGAAATTCCTTGAGAAAATTTAATTTTTTTTTATTATTCCCTGACCTGAAGTGTATGTAGAGTGGATTTTGTTGAAGGATCCATTTTGTTGTTACACAGTTTAAAACAACACTTACCAAGTCTTGTATTTTGGTGGTGCTATAACAGCTTAATATGTGTGCCAAGCTGTTGAAATCAGTCCTAATATAATAACCAACTGTCGCCACGTGCCGGCAACACCCAAGTGTGGCAAACAAGAGCAGAAACAGTACGTGGAAATACATGAAGGGGGATGAAAGATACTTCAGAGAGTGTTAAGTGTTACGGCACAATTGTTATGCTAGCCCTCAAAAGTATCCACTGGGACATCAAAGCGTTGACACTAGGTATGTGTCATGTCGCACAGGGTATGAATGGGCTGTAAGGTTCCATGTTTCAGCCCTATTTACCAAGCTGGGCCCATCCATTCATATCATTTCGTCACCCGGTGTTTTGTATACGGTTTCCAAGGCAACAACGTTTATATTTCTCGTGCCTTGTATCGAATTACATCTGCTGGTCAGGATATATGTCACAACTAGTCGACTGCAGGTAAAGAAATTGTTCGTCACGCCGAAACTGTCTCGATGATCTGTAGAAATGGGCTCCTGTTCCTCCAAAGATGACATACAAGTTTCAAGAGGGAGTTTACCTCGTGATAAGGTAGGAATTTTAATACGGTTCGCAACGTTTTGAACCGTGTATCAAAAGATTAGACCAGCTTAGTTACAGTGTGCTGTAATCCCTGGTTGGTAAATGTAACATAATGTTGCCACAGTTTCAAGTAGCGACTTGACTGTGTAACAAAGGACTGTTGAATGTTTCAAGTATTCGTTTTCCTGCTTTTTCCTGTACACTGAGCGCATGAGTTGAAATTTTGCCTGGTGTTTTGGCTTTCAAAAAGAGGATCATGTTAAGGCCTCTAGAACTAGGGTAGGAACTTATGGCAACCTTGACCTAAGCCATGGCACCCTCCCTCCATTGAGTGATACACAGCGTAGGGTACACCAATTTGATTTGTAGGTTCTTACATTTTTTCTGAAAACATTTGAAGCAACAGGGCGAAAAAAAAATAAAAACAGGCCTAGGCATCCTATGATAGCCCCAAATGCTACAATGGGAGCCATGAAGTTAACAACCAAGCTGGTATTCAGGCAGTAAATTTCAAACTTATAATCAAACTACTGCATTGATAGATGGAAAAACTGTAACTAGTCTGAAGAGAAGGGACCTCCTTCAACCGTTGCAGCCAAAATGTGAGTATTTTGGAGTTGACTCACAGGCTGATCAGAAACGTTTTGTGTTTTTTGTTTTTTTCAAATCAGAAAAAAATGAAGTGGGCAAATTCGTGAACCAACAAATTAAATTGGTGTGGCCTTTGGTTGTGGCGATGTTTGATGGCTAAAAGTTGAATGTGTAATCTGTAGTTAGTGACCGTTA